GGCCTACGGCATTGGTCTCCAGTGGCACCTTCCCTATGCCAGGTACTTCAAGTACATCGTTTGCACAGTCTAGCTTAGCTTGCATGGCCCGCAAGGCCTGGATAGAAAGGAGGAAGGGGGCCTTCCCTGGAATGACCGCAGCCTGAATGAAACCATCCCTCGGGCCGATTTTCACAGGATACTTTACCCGATAGGTGGCTTTGGTTTCGCCATTGATGCCCTCAAACTTTATGTCTGAATCACCCTGCTCCGGCTTTAAGGCTCCACCTGTTTGCTTCTTAAGCTCTTCACTCCACAAACGCTCATTCTCATCCCCAACTAAAGTGGAAGTGCAACCTGTGTCGAGAATGGCATATCCAGGTGGAGTTACCAGACAGCATGACTCAGAACCTTCCGGACACTTTGGCTCAAGACCCAGAAGCCGATCCAAAGTCAAACATTCTTCTACAAAATGCTCGAGTTGGCTGATGGACTGCCGAGACACAAAGGAGAACTCCGGAGTGGTTCTCGGTTTGGAACTCAAAGAAGACGGCGTCGATCGCTCTGCGTGGTAGGCCACATAGCTGAACTCAGGGACAAAGCGAAATTCCTGGCGAGGCTCAGTGATGGCCATGCCGAGGTACTGCGATCCTGGTGGCTCACCCCGCCTCGCATGGCCAGAAGAGCGACTGCTCTTCCCCTTTGACTTGCCCTTGCCAGCGCCCTTGCTCCTTCGGGTAGGCGGCGGTGTTCGCGGCCGTCGAGTCGCCGAGGGCCGCTGGCTGGAACGAGGCTGTTCTCTGTCCTTCCAGCTGAAATCCTGCCTTCGCGCTGGCGTTGATGGCCGGCCACGGTCCCGATCTCGGTGTTCTCGTCGGTCTCGATGCTCACGCCGATCTCTGTCGCCGCCACTTTGGCCGCCCTTGGGGTGTGCGGCCCCTTCTCCGGGCTCTTTGAACCCCCTCGCCTTCTTCAAGCTCAAAAGCTTCTTGCGGGCCTCAAGGTAGCCCATCATCGCCACACTGTACTCTTCACCGTCGCCCTCCTCTTCTTCAAGGGTCTCCTCGGTAAACTCCGACTCCTCGCCTTCAGCATACGCACCAAACTCCTCCTCGGGCTCGTATTCGTCGTCGACTTCAAAGGGCGACTCCTCATAGGGATCATCCTCCTCAGGCACATCCGCAAAGAAGCCGTGGCTGGTTACCTGCGAACGGCTAGCAACCAAGGCATCCAGCTCGGTACGCCTAAGCAGGTCTGCAACCTTGTCATAGCGCAGGGAGCCACCGCTTGACCTAAGCAACGATGCTCTGGTTTGAAGTGAAATGCCAATGTGCCTGAGGAATATGAAGCCCTTGACCACCTCGGGGAATCTGAAAGTCTGGACTTGGGGAAGTTCTCGGGGCGGAGTAGGTGCTAACGGTTCGGCTGGGGCCTCTGCTCCTTCCGGCAAAGCTGCGACCGTGGCTTGATGTTGCTGTTGAGCGACGATGAAATCCAGGCTGGCCCTACGGAACTCGGACCTCATCAAGTCACCCTGTCGGCGTCTCTCAACTCGCTGTTCTTCCGTGATCAGTTCTTCTACCTTTGCTAGGGCAGTCTCGAATCTGGTCACGAAGGAAGTGGACTCTTCGCCACGGCGGCGGCGCAACCGAAATAGCAAATCTTCAAGTTTATCTGAAAGCTCCTGCTCAGGAGTGAACTGGAAGCGCTCGTCGAGTATCGCCAGAAGCTGGGCCACACCACGATCTGTTCTGAACTCCGCCGGGTCCCGTTCCCGGAAGCACTCGAAGGCTGCCCCGCTGAGGCTCGAGATTAACCGTGGTGCCGCCAGATTCTGTTTGGAGTCTTCTAGACTATTGAAGTAAAGGAGGGCTCTCTTCCTGTAGTCTCTGTACTCGTCTAGCTTGCCGCTGAACTGTGGAACGCCGCGTTTGTCATCGTCCTTGTTGATGTCCATGGTCGCGTAGTCGAAACTCTCGTCGTGCTGTGTGCCGCCCTGGATCGAAGGCTCAAGCAAAGCATCCTCAGAGCTCCGCTACCATGTTGAATGGCAGACAGCACTACCCAAGATATCAGCTATCCTGAGTAAAAGGTAAGTGCCAAGAAGCCGCACCAGCTGAAAGGATATCTCCAAAGTGGGATAAAGTAAGGGAAGGTCAATTACATCCATGTCTGTTGTCAAGCATATGTCAGAGGACATGTTTTCCGTTCACCTCAGCAAGCTACGCGGTGCACCTTGAGCCACCACAGGTGGCATAGCGAGTTCACTGCTCTGTGCTCCCATCTCCTAAGAGATCAGGAGCCTAAGCTCTTCAACAGTCTCCCACAAAGTTGCTACCCGTTTCCCCGGCAGGGTCTTCTACGCTTGGTCTGAGTGGTTTTGGGGCCTTCTCCGTGTTTATACAAGCTTTGGGGATGTAGCCCAATACCCAAAGGCTTCAATATCCCCTGACTAACGGGTTCTTACCCCTCAAGGGCGAAAATAGGGGGGGTTTAAGGTACCTCATTCCCTCATTCCTTACTAAGAACCAGCCAATCCCCCTAAACCCTAAACCCTAAACCCTAAACCCTAAACCCTAAAACCATAAACCCTAAACCCTGAACCCTAAACCCTAAACCCTAAAACCCCTAAAAGCCTAAACCCTAAACCCAATAGGTGCCAAGGAACTGCTGGACAACTGTGGCATGTCTCGCCGAGTCTCAATTTGAGACCTTCCTTGTTCCCGAGCGGAAACCAGCTCCAACCTAATTGCCCCAACGGGTATATTTTTAGGGTTTAGGGTTTAGGGTTTGGGGTTTAGGGTTTAGGGCAATGAGGCTGAACCTGTAGTAGTTAAGGGTATGAAGGCTTATACTCAGGGGCTTGAGGTGTTCGATGGTCTGAGGGCCCAAAAAACCCTACTTGGAGGTTCATGGGTCGTTAGAGCTGGGTTTCTCGGGTAAGTGTGGCATGCATTGAGTGGCTGGTACTGTCGCTACTTGAAACTACCCATGAACTCAAGCAAAACCTTTGCAGCAAAACCCTAAACCCTAAACCCTAAGCCCTAAGGCCCTAAGGATAGTCCTCAGCGATAAGCCCACAACCCTGCAAGCCTTATCAGCCTCCAGCACTAAACCCTAATCCCTAAACCCTAAACCCCAAACCCTAAACCCAAACGCTAAACTGGGCGACCACCTGATCAGCTGTGGGCTTGTGTTTCCGATCGGCGTGAGCCTACGCTGCAGGTCCGACTTTCCACCGGTACACACCTTTTAGGGTGTAAGGGTTTAGGGTATAGGGCCCAAAAGCTCAGACATAACCTCGAAAGACTTCAAGGAGACGTAGCTGGCCCTGACCCAAATACTACACCTCATGTTGAGCTAAAACCCCCAAAATGTCTGCGCACCCTGCAGAACTTGGACCGTCTGTGCACAGGTCTTCACCATGCCCCAGCCGACTAATTTTGTCAGCACGTCTCTGGCAGGCGCTAGGTGGGAGGGACTAAAAGGCCTGTAGCCCAAGATGCCAAGGAGGCTCCCGCCGACCAACCCTAAACCCTAAACCCTAAACCCTAAACCCTAAACCCTAAACCCTAAACCCTAAACCCTAAACCCTAACCCTAAACCATGTTGCTTTCAGACCGGCGTCGGAGCTCGAGGAGGTTGTGGGGTTTGGGGTTGAGGGACATGGCAGACTGATCTAAGGCATCTTGGTAGCCCAGCAACCATATCTTAATAGGGGGCACACTTTTTTGGGGGTTGGGTACCTGCTACCGGAACCCAGAACCCCAAAAAAGGTAGAGGGTACCAGGACCACTGGCTACCAAAGCATTGTCCCCGAAAAGGAAGCCTCCTACTTGGCTCACATGGCCTCGGGCGCCTTTTTCTTTGCCCTGTAGTGCACTCCCCTAACGCAGCCCAGTGGGGTCACAATGGAAGGCAGGTTCAAAAGCCAGACCTTAAGGGCCCCAAAATGCGCTTACTTTTTTTGTGTCAAGGGTGCAGGGTCGACATACAAGGTGTTGGGCCCTTTAGGTGAATTTTGTCACAGAAACCGAATTTTGAAACGAACTGTGCTTCCGAGTGCCTTTCCTGGATGTGGCGAGAGTGGAGCGTCAAATTGCAAGGACCAGAGGGCGGGATGTATCCTTAAATTCCTCTATTTCCCATTTTGGGGTTTAGGGTTTAGGGTTTAGGGACCCTGTTGTAAAAGGCTCCAGCTCTCACCCACACCCGGGGGGCAAATGGAAGTTGACGAATATGGGAAGCCACAGCGTGCACTCGTCCGACCCTTGGACGACTGATGGCTGACATTCTACGAGTTGCTTAAGAAGCACCCAAAATTCAAAGAGAATGATCCCTATATTGCCCTTAGAAGACAATATGTTCTTTATTTTCGGGGGGGTTCTTAGGCAATTCGTAGTACTGGGGTTACGGTTTAGGGTGAGGATGGGCTGCTCATGCATACATGCTGCTGGGCTTCCGCGTGTCAATGCAGAAACCAATCCACCCACCCACCCCAGGAAGCGAACCCGGCCGAATCACATCAGACCCATCGCTGTCAGCACCTTGTCGAAGTTTTGCGCCCGCTCCTTGTCATTGCTAAGCGTACCCTATACTTCCAAGTGCTTCAAGACTGGATTCTTCAAGACCCAAATGACCTGCATAGCAGGTTCTTGAAACATTCGGGTTAAGGTTCAGGGATTAGTTGGCGATCTACTGGGTCTGAGGAAGCGCAAAGTCTCCTGTTACAGTGAGTCAGTAGGCCCCTTGGTCTTTGAAGGTCAAAGGGCTTCAGGCCCTAAACCCTACACTAAAGGGGTATAAGGAGGGACCCTTAGAAGGACCCTTAATCTTATTCCCTATATAACCCCTGTATATACCTTGTCTAGTCCCTATTTACCTAAGCCTTTTAAGGATCACTCCTTTAGTCCCTTGATAAACCCTAAACCCTCAACCCTAAACCCTACCCCTAAACCCTAAACCCTAAACCCTAAACCCTAAACCCTAAACCCTAAACCCTAAACCCTAAACCCTAAACCCTACACCCAAGTCTCTGTGGCTGCATGCAACTCCCCCGTGCCGCAGTTGGGTGGATTGTGGCAGCCGCGGTTGACGATGCCGGACGCCCCGTTGATGAAGGACCGGTCACCCTGCTGCATGCCATTGTCCACCCACCTTTGTGCACAGGAGGGTTTAGGGTTTAGGGTTTAGGATGAGGGTACCCTAATCCCTTATCCCAGAACCCATAAACCATGAACCCGGTTAAGCTCTCAACCCTCAACCCTAAGCCCCAGGGCCTATCTGACTTGAGGGTTTCGAATTTCTTGCAACTGAAACCTCGCGTGCTTGAACGCCAAAGGGTCCCAGCCGGACCGAAACCACTGAAAAAAGTGGAGGTTGACCCGAAATAGGGGCCCCAAAAAAACCACAGAAACATAACGATTCTACAACCAGGGGTTTCCAGGATCACCCTTTATAGGAGCCCTTATACCCCAATAGTAGGATCCTTATGCTTACGTGGCTTTTTTTTGGGCCCCTCATCAAAAACACGGAAGCAGAATGACGACTCAAGCAACCAGGGGCCCTAAACCCTAAACCCGAAACTCGAAACCCAAAGTGTGCCGCACGGCAGTTCGGACCTCAAGAGCGATCCTCTGACTCGAGGAATCACGGTATCCAACCCAGAGAGCTCGGGTTTAGGGTTTAGGGTTTAGGGTTTGGGGTCTGGGGTTTGGGGTTTGGGGTTTGGGGTTTGAGAGGCACGTTGCACCTCCATAGAATAGCGGCTAGAGTCGTAGAGCTCCCAGCATAATGGCTGGCTGGGCACCAGGTACCCTAAACCCTAAGCCCTAAACCGTAAGCCCTAAAACCTACACCCTAAACCCTAAACCCTCACCCTTAAACCCTAAACCCCTAAAACCCTAAAACCCCTAAACCCTAAACCCCTAAACCACTAAAACCCTAAAACCCTAAAACCCTAAAACCCTAAAACCCTAAAACCCTAAAACCCTGAAACCCTGAAACCCTAAAACCCTAAAACCCTAAAACCCTAAAGCCCTAAAACCCTAAAGCCCTAAAACCCTAAAACCCTAAAACCCTAAAACCCTAAAACCCTAAAACCCTAAAACCCTAAAACCCTAAAACCCTAAAACCGTAAAACCCTAAAACCCAAAAACCCTAAAACCCTAAAACCCTAAACCCTAAGCCTTTTAGACCACACTACCAGGCTGCGCCAGGATGCTTTTTGAGCTCGGCGATGTAGTCCCAGCCGCCCGAGGTGTACGGCTGCACGGCGTTCAGCCTCTCTCTGAAAAGACAGCTCTGAAGGACTTTGGGTTTATAGGGTTTATAGGGTTTGTAGGGTTTATAGGGTTTATAGGGTTATAGGCTTTATGGAGTTTACAGGGTTTATGGGGTTCATAGGGTTTATAGGGTTTAGGGTTTGGGGTTTACAAACCCGGACAGTGAAAACCTAAAGTTATGTTAGAAGTTTCGGGCCTCAGGGCACGCCGAATCGGGGATGTGTACAAAACAACTTGCAATGGATACTTCGTTACTAAGTTCATAGGCCCCCCAAAAAGTGTACACTTTCACTTCTATAGGGGAATATGGTATCCCACAAAGTGTAAAGTGTGCTCACTCAGCTACTAAGGTTCTGGGGTTGAGGGTTTAGACCGCCTAAGCCTGCACGCCCCCGAAACTTGCTTTCTCTCCCCGCACCCCGCTTCCGCCCACACACGTGTGCTGGGCTGGCCCTTGACACCTCGTGTGTGTGTGTGTGCACTATACACATACATACAAATATATATATGTATATATCTATTCATATCTATATTTATTCATTTTTATTTATTTATGTAAAAATATGTGTATATACATATAGGAGTATGCAGAGGTATAATATAATGCAGAGGTGCAACATATTATATACAACAAATATGTAGTTATAGATACACAAACATATGCCTGTACGGCCTTTGATTTCAGGTTTAATTTTCTTTCCAGCTTACACATTGACATTGTTTGTGCATGTACAGGGCTCATCCCCTAGACCCTAAACCCTAAACCCTAAACCCTAAACCCTAAACCCTAAACCCTAAACCCTAAACCCTAAACCCTAAACCCATCCAACAGATGGCCAAGGAGCCAGTAGAACATGCCCGCAACCCATTTCAGCTCGGGAGGGCCTCGGCCATGGAGTCTTCGTTGGGGCTTAGGGCCGTTAAGCTAGGGTTTAGGGTTGGGATATGGTCCACAGCTTGCAGTATACATCGCGCACGGGAACTGGTATTTGGGCTTGTGGTGGGAGGACACGTTTGCCTTGTCAGCTCGCCCTGCATTGGTTGTCGTGTCGCTAGGAGGGTAATGATGCACCCCAGCTTACCTACACTTACACCTCTAACTACTGGTTGGGATGTCACATTGCTGCAGGTGAGTGGCTAACTCTCTCTCTCTCTCTTTCTCTCTCTCCCTCTTGCACTGCAATCCCAAACGCTGCCAACGTTAATCCGGAGCCGGCTCATGTGGCTAACGCAGCCTTCAGGGATGAGGGTTCTACAGGCTTATGCAGCTCCACCATTGAGGCAGCCTTGGGAAACCTACGAAGGCACGAAGGGTGAGCCAGCAAGTTCGAATCCTTCCACAAATGAATATTTCTGACAAGGCGAACACGTTTCCTCCCCACGGAAGAAAACAAGATCGGGACCCTGTGAACTATGCAAAGCAAGCCCCGAAACGTCCCGCCTCTACACCGCGAACAAAAACTGACAAATCTCCAGACAAGAAGAAAAGCTGAACTGCCTAAACCCTCAACCCCAAATCCTAAAGTCGCAACGCCTAAACCTGATGAACCCTAACCCCCCCTCCCCACTTCATGGTAGCCCAGAAGCTGCTGGGATCGCAAATGGAGTTCCTTGGCTCACCAAGCTTCGTAAACCCTACTTGGAGGCTCAGGGTACCTAGTAACCCAATTCTGACAATTACAACCCCGATAGGGTACTTGTAAGCTGTCAGATGCCTATAAGCCCTACACCCTAAACCCTAAACCCTAAACCCAGGCCCTAAACCCTAAACCCTAAACCCCAAACCCTGAACCCGAAACCCTGATAGATACCGTACCTGGGCCTTAGCACTGAAGGTTTCTGTGATCTTTGCGAGTGTGCGGGTTTCTAGGCCTTGTGTGAGTCGGCAGGGCCTTAAGGTTTGTAGGGTTTGAGGGTTTAAGTGGGGCTTAAGGTCTCCCTAAGCCCTAAAGCCTAAACCGTAGTAAACCCTAAACCCTAAACCCGAAACCCTAAACCCTACAACCCTAAACCCTACCTAAACCTGGGAGGATCTCCATCCTAACTCTTCTGCGCAACCCCTCCGTCTGATTTGGGGCTTCGGGAAGGTCGGTGTAGAGCAAAACCAAACCCCAAACCCTGAACCCTAAACCCTAAACCCCAAACCCTGATTCCTAAACCCTAAACCCTAAACCCTAAACCCTAAACCCCAAAAGAAGAGTCTTTCCAAAAGCCGCCACCGAGGCTCGGATTCTTGCAAAAATCGATCTGCGGATAAATCGAGGACCTTCCCTCATCCGCCGCCCTCTTGCCCATGAAGAAGTTCAGCCTGACTGGTTTAGGGTTTAGGGTTTAGGGTTTAGGGTTTAGTTTAGGGTTTAGGGTTTAGGGCCACACCCTACCTCAAGTGTAAGGCACCACCTAGCCCAAAGAAGGTATTTTGTGTACATGCTAGACCACCGAGGTAGGTATTGTTGTATGCTCGGGGCCTTGAGCAACTGAAACAAAATATCTCACCCTAAACCCTAAACCCTAAACCCTAAACCCTAAACCCTAAACCCTAAACACTAAAACCCTCAGCCCGAAGATGCCCTCGCCATCAACCCTTACACGTGGATCTGGAGAAACAGTGGGGGTCCGAAACCTAAACGTGCAACCTCAATTCGGTGGAATTGAGTATCTTTATCCGGCTAAGGTACCTACTTAGAAGCTCTTTTGACTTTGTAGGTCTAACCAATATCCCCTAGAAACCCCACGATTATCTGAATACCCCACCTTACTAACCCTAATTACAAAGTCAAAAAGGGCTTCCGAGTAAGCCCTACACTCGAAACCCTCAAGCCCTACGACCCACTCTAGGTAGGGTATGCCAGGTCCCCAGGTTGGGAGGGGCTGGGATTATCATTCATAAACCCTAAACCCTAAACCCTAAACCCTAAACCCTAAACCCTAAACCCTAAACCCTAAACCCTAAACCCTTACAGCCCGCATAAGTCCTAAAGCCTGAGGTAGACCCAAGAGAAACCCAGTAAGAACAAGGGTGCCCCTTTTTGAAGAAATGTGGCTTACAAGGGCACCTAAGCCTTTTAACAAGAAATGAGGGCCTACTCTGGGTCCTTGTTGAAGCCCAGCCCTAAGTCGGAAACCACTAAGCACTTCGATTCCCTCCCAATCCCCCCTCCCAACCTCTCCCCAACGCGCTCCACCCCACCCATTTGTGGAATACCAACCCTAAAGCCTAAGGTTTCTTAAATCCTAAACCCTAAACCCTAAACCCCAAACCCATTTGTGAGACATCGAGGCCCTGACTTGCCAAAGTTGCAGGTTCCGGTCGTCTGGATGACGCCTGTGGTCCGAGGTTATTTGGACTTGGTGCTTTAGCTTGGTTTAGGGTTTAGGGTTTAGGGTTTAGGGTCAAGGGTTCAGGGTTCAGGGTTCAGGGTTCAGGGTTCAGGGTTCAGGGTTTAGGGTTTAGGGTTTAAGGTTTAGGGTTTGGGTTAAGTTCACGAAGAGACTTTCGTGCCGTCGCTGTGAGCCTGGCGTTGGTTTGCTTGCTGTGGCTTGCATGCAGGCTGTTCTAGAGCTTCGCCCCCCAATTCAACTATCTGGAAAGTTGTGGGGACCCGAACCCCGGCATCAAACAGTCCCCACAAAAGGATGAACTTAGAGCGCATATCATCCCCTATATCGATGACACCGGTGGAGCTTTCGATGTGCTTGGGGTATTACAGTGTTGCTGGGTTACTTGGCTCGGCAGGCTAAACCCTAATCCCTAAACCCTGGGAACCCTTCACCCCACGCAAGGGTAGACGATGCCCAACAGGATGGGTTTGGGATGCTTAGGGTTTAGGGTTTAGTGTTTAGGGCTTAGGGTTGCGGGTTTAGGGCCCAGAAACCTAGGATTAAGCAGGTTGCTCTTCTCTGCTTGAAAGGGTTTTGAAAGGGAACCTAAACCTCCCACAAAAGGGTTTATAGGGTTTAGGGTTTAGGGTTTCGGGTTTATCAGGGTCTAAGGTTTAGCGCCCAGGAACCTAGGAATAAACAGGGTGCCCTTTCTTGCCTAGAAGAGTTTAGAAGGTTCACCTCCGACAAAAAAAGGGAATAAGTGCACTACTTGGCATCCTCAGTTCTCTCGGTAACTAGGGCTGAAGGTCACCAGCAAACGATAGGGTTTAGGGTTTAGGGTTTAGGGTTTAGGGTTTAGGGTTTAGGGTTTAGGGTTTAGGGTTTAGGGTTTAGGGTTTAGGGCTTGGGGCATCTCATGGCCGCAAGCAGCCTCGGCCCCACCAGCAGCAGCCCTCAACGTCCTGCGACTGGGATGAAGGTTCGTAAAGGCTTTGGGCTTTCAGGTTTGGACTTAAAGATTGAGATGTTCACGCTTATACGAATAGTCCTTAAAAGGGATTATAATATGATAATAGGGGGTACTATCATCCCGATTCAGGAGTGTTAGTATAAGGGGGAACATCCCAAGGTTTGGGCTTAAAGTGCTAGAGGGGTTGGAGCATGCTTCAAACTGAAGGGGCAGGTGGGCAGGGTGGCGGCATCAGGGTTTAGACCAGAAGCCCTTACTGCAAACCCCCTGCTCCCTAGATCACGAGTTCTTGACTGAACAACCCTAACTCTCAACGAAACCGTAAACCGTAAATCCTAAATCCTGGCTTAAACCCCAAAAGCCCAAACAAGAAACGCTCCTCGCGCCCCTCCGGTTGGCCAAACAAAGGCGCATCGGAGTTGGGGCAGGCGCCATCGACCTCGTTTCTTGGCTGACTTCTGAACCCCAGGGTTTATGTAGGGTTTAGGGTTTAGGGTTTAGGGTTTAGGGTTTAGGGTTTAGGGTTTAGGCTCCTTATTGTATTTTCTACAACAACCCAAAAGGTTAACGTCCTAAGAGCCAGTCAGAAGAAAGCCAAGGCTTTGGTAGGTCTCGGTGCTGGCGTACAAGCTTCGGGCTCGGCAGTTAAACTTGGAGCTTGTTTGGTGGTTTAGGGTTTAGGATTTAGGGTTTAGGCTTTAGGGTTTAGGGCTAGGGTTTAGGGTTGAGGATGTAGAGTTTAAGTTGGGGGTTTAGAGTTTACCAACTCCCGGCAAAAGGCATTTGGAAAGGCTTTGGGAAGGGTTCTGTGTCTAAAGCCCAGCTGACACCGAAACAACTTCAAACGACGGCGCTCTGAATAACCACCGCATTTGAATGAACACCAAGCAGGTAGGTCAAGGGCTATATTTGTTCAGGGAACTTTCTAGTGGGTGGGCCCCCGAGGTTCTGGATCTCTGACTGATCACGCGCGGGCATTCTCTCCTGCAAGGCGGTTTCTTTGGGGCCCTGCAATATAAAATGAAAGACGGCGAGCTTGCATGTTGTCAGCCAGAAAAAACCCACACCCTAAACCCAGAACCCTAAACCCTAAATCAAAAAACCTAAACCCTAAACCCCTACACCCGAGCTGCGACGTCTTGGGGACAAGAAGGTCCGCACCACCGGCTACGCGGCATTGGGCGATGATGCTTGGGTTGGGAGAGAGACCGTGGTCTTGCTGTGTACAAACAAACGCATGTCTACGTGTCTACATGTATACACATTGCGCTTGCGAGTATGTATAATATATATATATATATATATATATATATATATAATAGAGGTGAAAAGTGTGTATGCGTATTTATGTAAATGTTCAAGAGTATGCGTGTATGTGTATGTGTATTGTTACTGTGTAGGGTAGGGGGTTTCGGGGGCTGTGGGCGAAAGACGCATAGGCCTTGGTTGGGACCCCCTCAACCCAAGCAGGAGGCCTGAACCTTCAGGTTAGGGGGTTTAGGGCTTTCAGGGTTTTGGGGTCTGTAGGGCCTAAGTTAGAGGGTTTTCGGAGTAGGGAGTATAGGAGGCCATTTTCTTGCTGGGTTGTGCTTTGAACCCTTTGAAAATTATTTATGAATAGGTTCCCTTATAAGGAAAGAAGTGAAATTAAAAATTATCCCAAAGCACAACCCAGCTTGGCCTAAACCGCGGCCAAGTCTCGCAGCCCTCGCCGGTGAACTTCCATCCTCCTTGCAAGGTGGCTTGGTAGTGAGGGCGTGGCGTCTGAGTTTTGGTGGAGGGGGTTGGGGCTGGTAGTGTTATTTAGGAGTGGGCTGAAGGTGGCAGAGGGTGCAAGGGTTTTTGGGTCTCTAGGAGAGGTTTTGAACGAGGTGAGACAGCAAGAGATGATCTCGATATAGTTCTACCTGTAGGCGAAATAAGGACACCAACCGTCGAGATCTGCCCGCAAATGTTCGTGTACTAGTTTAAATGCAGAAGTTCTTGCCCCATATACCTGAGCCGGATTCATCGTAGTATAGGAAATATCCTTCCCCATCCGAGAAAAATGTCATCTCGGGCACAGGGTACCTTCTAACGCCACTGGGAAATTTTGCGTTTGCCGACAACGTGGCACGAACAACGAAGATGGCAATATTTTTCAATATTGCAAGTATCTATGCACAAGGTGCCAAGCCTGGCAAGCACTTCGGACGCGTCGTCTTGCTGTCGCTAGAAAAGGGCAGATGTACATGGCAGTCCTGTGAACTTGGAACGGCTACAATGACAAACCCTAAACCCTATAAACCGTATAACCCTAAAATTCAGACAAAACCTATAAACCCTAAAAACCCTAAACAAACCTATAAACCCCAAAAACAGCCCCCACGGCCCGAATGGCAGTCCTGTCTTGATGCCCTGGTAATCCTTGCAGCTGCCACCTGGCAGGACGGCTCACTGTAATGCTGGGTGGTTTTCTAAATTAGGGTCCCTTTTTAGGGTTCCCTCTCGAATAAGGACCACCAAAAGACCCTGACCTAGAGAACTACACAAGAGACAGGTACATAAGCCAGCTTCTGCCCTCGATAAGTCGACAGGATCGGAGCCCGGATCCGCGACTGAACTTGTGAAAGGACCGTGTATAGCAAGAACCTGCATGAAAACGCTCGAGAACCTGAAGAACTCCCAAAAGGCAGCGATGTCGATGAACCTAGCCAGCCCGTATGGAAAAGTTGCAAGAACCAGAGACAATTAAGCAGCCAACGCTGGCAAAACAATTCTGAGCAGAATCAGTTTTGGAGGGCTTGCTTTTTGTACTTTCTCAAGCAGCTAGTCCAACGTTGAGTCGTGCACCTTTCTCACTCGGAAGTTTTACCTTACAAGAAACAGTGGAGATCCTCACATACACCCACTCGAAAAGAATCAGGGAGGATGTCCTCCAGCCGCAACGCAAACCCACAAATGCGACTTGTACGGCGTTCATGGCCCACCCTCGATCCCATACCCTGACATTCTAGAAAGTACGCGGGGCCTCACAAACCACTCTGGGTCGTACCAAATTCTCTAAACCCCAAACCCGAACATCCTGCACCCAAAACCTGGTCTCGTCGACTGATTCCTGAAAGGGTTCATGGTGCATATACTCCAACAGCAGGTATTACGGCGCAGGGTATGTGATCCTAGACCCTAAACTCTAAACCCAAGACCTGTACATATCTATCTATCTATATATATATATATACACATGCCCTAAACCCTACACCCCGAAACCCAAGGGGACTCCAAACTTCTAAACCCAAGGTCCAAACTTCCGCCTCCGTTCACGTACTCAAAGTATTCGTCCAGGGGGACGTCGTCCGCAAAGGGAGGGACATGGCCCCAGCCGTCTGGCCAGGGACTACTTAACCCTTAACCCTAAACCCGAAACCCGAAACCCGAAACCCTAAACCCTAAACCCGAAACCATAAACTATCCTAAACCGGGTCCAGGGTCCTAAGCCCAAGATCCTAAACCATCTAAACCGTAAAGAAGCCTAGAGCTAAACTATCTAAGCCCCGAGCGCTCCAAGTGGGCTTGGGGGATATGAGGTGCAACCTATCTTTTAAGGGCTTAGGGTGTCGGGTTGTAAGAACAGGGTGAAAATGATGCAACAGCTGCAGAACACACTAAAGCAGCCCATGAAGCTAGCGTAAGACTCAAAGGTTTAACAGGAGCTTCTGATCTTCAACCGTTTCTATCTTCTCAGTCTAGATGTGAACGCAAATCATTTCTGGTGAGCGAAAGGTGAAGGAGGATATGATTCTGGGGTCCTTCGATGCTGGGCTCGATGCTGGGCGACCTTGAGGAAGAAGCCAAAAGCGCAAAGAACGGGTTTGTCATCAACAGCTTCTCCGGGACAACGACTTGCACGACAGAAGGAACACCGAATTGTTCCTGTCACAGGTTCGTGCAAACTGGCTCGTGGACGTGGATGGATGTAATAAGAACACAACAAAAGGTGGTTGACTACACAAAAACTCCTTTGAAATGCAGTATTTACGGGAACCCTCAAAGCCCGGACCAGAAGCTCAACAACCAAGAAGCTGAAATCGCTTTGGGGGGCTTGGGTTTAGAGTGACTTTTACGATTTCGGCCCTGCAACCCTAAACCCTAAACCCTAAACCCTAAACCCTAAACCCTAATTTTGAAGAGGGCCTTGCCTTCCGGCGCACACCACGGGGCGCTGTAGTCCCACCTGCAGCACTCATCCCCAGGCAAGGTCGGAGTTTAGGGCTTCGCTGAACAAAAAGGTTTAGGATTTAATTAGGGTTGACGGTTGAGGGTTCAGGATTCAGGGTTCAGGGTTCAGGGTTCAGGGTTTAGGGTTTAGGGTTTAGGGGTTAGGGTGTAGGGTTTAGGGTTTAGGGAGTAACCTTGATGCCCTTCAAGAAGGGAAGTGCACGCCTAAATTATACAGCTATAGCGGCTATATATATATACATATATATATATATTTATCTATATATATATATATATAGCCAGGTTTCTCCAGGGTTTACGAGGCTTATGAGGGCTTTTTATGAATTTAAGGGCTTAGGCTATTCGGGCTCAGGAAGACCTCGAGATTTAGGGGTGGAATGTGGAGTTCAAGGTGCAAGCTATAAGGGGCTAAGAGGCTACCATGAGTAACCCTAAACCCTAAACCCTAAACCCTAAGCCCCAAGCCCCATAAACCCTAACGCTTAGAAGCCCCAAGCCCTAAAGCTCTAAAGCCCTAAACCCTAAACCATAGACTTCAACCCCAAACTAACCCCCCCCCCACCCACCCACCCCACCCCGCACGCCTGGGAGCCTTTGGCACCTTGGACTTCGGGGCGCAGAAGAGCTTGGCGGGAGCACCGTACCATCCGGCCTGACTCAGGTGCTGAAGGGATATGAAGCACAGGTCCCTTTTTAATGTTGGTGAGTGTATACCTTGGGTGTCCTTTTTGGGGAAATATCAACCCTACTTCATATGGATTTTAATCTAGATGGGGGTTTCCGAAATTGGGGATACCTTACTGGGGGTCCTTATTATATGGGGATCCTTCTATTTGGGGGTCTATATTCGGGGCCCCCTATTTGCGTAAACCCCCAGATAGGTCAAGGTGCACTGTCAGGGTGATCCTCTCCGCCTACACTTCTGGTGCTTGCAACACACACTGAGTCTGTCCTGGCAGGTTTCGGAGGCTTCTAGCCCCTTCTAGATCCTCTACTCAAAGGTTCATGAGTCGTTGCGAATGTGTGGGGTTGTAAGTGGGGTTTAGGGTTTAGGGCAACTACAGCCGGAGTTGGATACAACCTATGTGGAGACCTATGTGGAGCCATGAGCCTTCCTAAAGCCTTCGCAGTTCCACCGGCCAAAGCTTCACCCCCAAACTCAAACCCTGACCCATCTACACCCTAAAACCTGAGCCCTGAACGCCTAAGCCTTCTGCACCCGAAACCCCAAGCCCGCAACGCCGAAACCTCGAACTGTCACCCCATGTGGATTTTTGGGTGGTTCTATGGGGGTTTTTAGGGCTTCAAGGCATTTTGGTTTTGAAGGATTTGTAGGGCTTGAGAGTGCTCTAAACCCTGAACCCTAAACCCTAAACGCTACACCCTACACCCTAAACCCTAAACCCCCTAACCCTAAACCCTAAACCCTGAACCCTAAACCCTGAACCCTAAACCCTCTTTCTTGAGGCTGTTTTGGGCTCCTGGGTCCTGCCTGCGTGAAGGCGCGCATTTCCATGTTGGGGTCCTCAGCTTCGACCGTGGGACCTACGATAATTTAAGGTGCACTTCCCGTGTTAAAGGGGTCAAGGGTTATATGGATTAGGGACTTAAGGTATGCTTCCGGTGTTAGATCGGGTCTAGGGTATAGGGATTAGGGACTTCAGGCACGTTTTTCTTTCCTGCTCAAAGGGGTCTAGGGTTGAGGGAGTAGGGGTTTAGGGGTACGCCCTCTTCCTTCTTAAAGGGGTCTTAGGCTTTCGGGATTAGGGGTTCGTGTAAGGGTGTGTAATCACAGCTTGCTCGGAAAAAGTTCAGGGACATCGGGTTTGGGGCGGCCCTGCAGAGCAACAAGAACATCTCTACGCAGGGCCCATAGACCTTTTACATGTCTTCCGAACCGACTTTCTGTCAAGCTGAACCGACTGTCTCGCCCACCCTAAACCCTAAACCCTAAACCCTAAACCCTAAACCCTAAACCCTAAACCCTAAACCCTAAAACCCTAAACCCTAAACCCTAAACCCTAAACCCTAAACCCTAAACCCTAAACCCTAAACCCCCAAACCCTAAACGCTAGTCTGCCAGGCTGCGACGTCACAGGCCATCTTTCCCCCAGCCAGAGCATCTTCCTCGGCCGAGCAGCTGTAATCCTGCCAGTACGTGGTGCAACTTACTAGTTCTGAGTAGGGAAATTGGGAATCAGCTGCCTTGCATACACTTCTATCACCATATACACCCTTTGAGGGATTCAATAAGCTACGCAGTCCCCGAATTCCCTACTCAGAGCTGTAGTAAGAGGCCATGTGGCACCCTCCAACGGGAAAATCTCCACACCAGGTTTGCAAGCGAGATTGTCAGGACGTCATCTTAGTTGCTGAGTTCATCAGCCCCAAAAGAGTGTACACTTTCAGTTCTATAGGAGATTCTTGTATCCCAAAAAGTGTACTACTCACTCACTTACTGAGTCTTCCCGGCTCTCTTGAAGTCAGGAATTGAGTGCCCATACAGTCGTTCAAAAAATGAAATAGAGGGATATCAGCGGCTTCGAGAAGTCTGGGCTTCGCGGCTTCTGAATTCGATTTTGAGAACCAAACCGACCGTAGTGGGCTTTGGGGCTTAGGATTGCGGGTGGGCCGTCCCTGAGAGAGATTATTGCGTCTCGAAAAACTCACCCGACTTTCAATATCGCTTCTTCCAAGTTTTGCAAAGAGTCTTCTGCTTGGTGCTTCGATTCAGGGCTATGTGCGTGTGCTATCACCTCTGTGTTCCAAGAGTATTCAATATAGTTACAAAAAGGGAATTGGACTCTGTTAATAACTTTAGTTGCAAAACCACGGTAAGAGGTTACTCCAATCGGCCTTGCTGCCCGCCAAACTCCAGGCCCAAAAAAGCCCTGCGAGCGTAGAGCCCAGTACTAAAGCCTCCGCAACCCTTTGAAACCTGCAAGCCTTTAAATCTTAAGCCCTCCGTCCCCGAACTCCAAACCCTAAACCCCCAGACCCTCAAGAACGCAGCCCCTAACCCATCCCCCCGCACAAATCACAAACCCTTACAAGAACAAGCCCCAACCGCCCAAAACCCAAAACCCAAAACCCTAAACCCTAAACCCTAATGCCTGGTACGACTGGTGTAGCTGTCCACATGCCGAGGCCGACGTGTAAGTCGAGCCGCCCGCCTCTTGAACCACTGCCTCCCGTATGCAGGGGCCTTGCCTGGGGTTTAGGGTTTAGGGTTTAGGGTTTAGGGCTTTGGGTTAGGGGTTAAGGTTTAGGGTTGGGTTTAGGGTTTAGGGTTTAGGGTTTAGGGTTTAGGGTTTAGGGTTTAGGGTTTAGGGTTTAGGGTTTAGGGTTTAGGGTTTAGGTTTAGGGGTTAGGGTTTAGGGTTTAGGGTTTTGGGTTTAGGGTTTAGGGTTTAGGGTTTAGGGTTTAGGGTTTAGGGTTTAGGGTTTAGGGTTTAGGGTTTAGGGTTTAGGGTTTAGAGTTTTGGGCTTAGTAACCTATATGCTTGCTCAGGGAATATAACGACTCTCGTCTCGGCGTGGGTGGTTACATGGTCTCGTCCGGATTGGTTAGGTTAGGTGTATCTGTAGCACCTGAAAGGGAATGAAAGGACGAATGCCAAGCCTGTTTGCACTTTACTCTTCAACAATACACCCTAAACCTTACACATGAGTGTAAACCCAGACCCCGTTTAGGGAGAACAGGAGTCCTTCAGGGTAGCTCTGGTGTTTTAGGGTTTAGGGTCTAGGGTTTAGGGTTTAGGGGGGCTTTGAACCCTGGACCCCAAGCCTGTGAACCTCTAAGGGGTTTTACTGGCTTGGGAGACTGGTACTTCTGTGTTTCGGGGCATGTGCTACAGGTAGCCCTGAAAAATCACAGCGATTTGGGTGGTAGTCTATGTAATTCCCTAAACCCTGAACCCTGAACCCTAAACCAAAAATAGGACCCCATAAACGGAGATCTACGTGCCTTGTCGCTCCAGTTGTTCTCATCGCAGGCATTGTACTGAATAGTCTCCTGGCACAGGTCAAAACTCCGGTGTCCCTAAGCCCGCAACCTTCAAGCGTGTGTATACATATTATGTGTATGCATTACATTACATTTTACTACGCTACATTACTCTACGTACGCTACGTTGCATTACATTCATTACATTACATTGCATTGCATTACATTACATTACATTAACATTACATTACATTGCAGTACATTACACTATACTACATTACAGCGTACAATATCTATACCTATATCTCCAAAGCCCAAAGACCCCAAATCCACACCCCGGCGTCCTAGACCCTGGGCCCATCTCAACTCACAGCTTCCAAAAGCTTTGTCAGGAGTCCTGCATGGTTCTCCTACTACCCATTCTACCCCCGTAGGGTTTAGGGTTTAGGGTTTAGGGTTTAGGGTTTAGGGTTTAGGGTTTAGGAGTTTCGGGTTTAGGGTTACCCCTGAGGCGGTTTAGGGATAATTAAGCCTAATTCAGGCTATTTCGGGCGGAACCTGGGGGGGGGGGGGGGGGGCAGGGAAACCCATGACAGTCCTGCATGCACTGCGCCAGAAAGGCAGCCACATTCACCAAGCCATACACCTCGGCAGGGTGAGGAGCGCCCCGAAATCCCATGCCCTAAGCCCTACACTAACCCTAAACCGGTGTAGGCTTTAGGGTTTAGGGTTTATAAGGTTTAGGGGAAATAGTGTAACCCCTCAGAACTTCCAAAAAAAGCCCTACACCCCGGGTCTGCTAGGGATACGTGACAGGAATTGCAGGCTGAGCATTTGGGCTTCTGGACTCAGGTGGAGCTTCGGCATTAGGTGGTCGAGGTGTTTGAGGGTTATTGTAGGTTTGTTTCCCGAGAGCAGCGGAAGAAACCCTAAACGCTGCACCCAGCAAGTAGCCCCAAGCCCTTCACCTAAGCTGTAGAAGATAACCCTGTGCGCATAACAAGATAGTTCTCCCCAATGGGGGCGCCATTCCTTAAACCCCCAAAACTCCAAATCCCCCAAAAACCCTAAACCCCCGAAACCCCCTAAACCCCCCAACCCCTAAACCCTAAACCCTAAACCCTAAGCCCCCAAGCCCTAGAGACTGAGCCTCTGACGTGGTTGGTGTCGCCCAACCACAGCTTCAGGCTCCCAACACCGCTTGTAGCCATCAAGCGCACTGCCTCTCAGACTCTCAGAGCGCCACACGAAACCCCAAAGCCGTAAGCATGTGGGGTTTAGGGTTTAGGGTTTAGGGTTTAGGGTTTAGGGTTTAGGGTTTAGGGTTTAGGGTTTAGGGTTTAGGGTGTCAGGTCTGTAGGGTGTATGGCTTATACATAGGGTACAGGATTTCGGATTCAGGGTCTCGAGGCTTTTTTCAACTGGAAGTACCCCTGGCAGCGTGCAGCCCGAAACCCTAAACCCTAAACCCTAAACCCTAAACCCTAAACCCTAAACACTTAAACCCTAAACCCTAAACGCCCAGACCAAGACGATCTGTGCGAAGCCTGGATCATGTCCGGCCACGTGTAGATATCGGATGGCAGCCACCCACTGCCGGTGTCATACATGAAGACCTCAGGCGCAACTGCCGATTTCGGCGGGTTTAGGGTTTAGGGTTTAGGGTTTAGGGTTGAGGGTTGAGGGTTGAGGGTTGAGGGTTGAGGGTTGAGGGTTGAAATATTAAACTTTGAGGCCCTAAACTACCTATGAACATCCGACAGGTAAGATCTTCACAAGCAGTCGTACGTACCCATATTGACATATTGTAGGCTAGAGCTTCGTGTTCATTTTGCAGGCTTTGCCTGAGCCTCCTGGTAGCTCAAGCTTGGTCGTCGAGTAGTTTGACACGGTTGAGGGCCGTTTCGGTGTTCGGGGCCCCTCTACTCACTACCATGTCGGGACTCGAAACCTGCGTTGCAGCGCTGCTGTTAGCCTTAAACCCCAAACCCATCGTGAACCTGCTCATACCAAAGGGAGCACCTCCCTTATCTAGCTGGCTCTTAGAAGGGACTGAGGGAATGAGGTAGCCTGTAGAACCCCCTTATAGGGCACATATGGGGCCCTAATTCTCTGATTCCCTACTAAGAATCAGGGCGCTCTTGAGGGAGAAGGCGACTCCCCCTACCTGAAAAAAAAAAAGGAATAGGAACCCAGAACCAGAAACATGTTAAAGTATAGTACTCCCCTAAGCCCGAAACCCTAAACCCTAAACCCTAAACCTTAAACCCTAACCCTACACCCTAAACCCGACAGTATTAAAGTCTAGTACTCCGAAACCCAGCTGTGGCTGGGACCCCATCGGAGTTGGAGCCCTCCAACGCCTGGATGGACCGTTCCAGCGTGGAGGACGGGGTTGACCTTTGAGGGGGTTTAGGGTTTAGGGAGGGTTTAGGGTTTAGGGTTTAGGGTTTAGGGTTTAGGGTTTAGGGTTTATACTTTCAGAGAAGGGTACAATATTTCCTGGAAGAATAGGGTGCAGTTTAGGCTCTCAGGGCTACCGGAAGGAAACATTTGCACCATACTGACCCCTGGCCGGCTCCTTCTCATAGTTGCTGAGTTCGTAAGCCGCAAGAGTGCACACTGTCAGTTCGAAAGGGGATTATAGCATCCCAAAAAGTGTAAAGTGTACTTATTCAGCTACTAGGTTTTTAAACTTTCCAAGGGGCAGGGTCGTGGTAGCCGCCATGGTGGTAGTTGTGGGCGGGTTGGTCCTCGGGCATGCAAAACCCGCAACCCTAAACCCTAAAGTTATAAGCAGGGCAGAATGTCGGATGATCCAGCTTCTTTCAGTTTGGTCTTGGAGCCCCCCCCCCCCCCCCCCCCCCCCGAGCTAGCCTGGGAGCGAAGCCTCGAATAATTTTGTCTCACGAATAGACATTACCTCCGCCACATGCAGCCACAGTCACCTTGAACGAGTTGAACACATTTTCTGTCGACGAGAGTCATTGGAGTACATGTCGTTTGCCACACTTGGCCATGTCCAGAGGAAAGGTGCTTACAGGAAGATATTTCCTTGGACGCCATATGAACACCTTCGGTTAGGGTCAAATTGGGTTAAAAGTACAGCAATATTTGGGTTACTAAGTACCATGAACCTCCAAGTTTAGGCTATGGTTACCAGGCAAAGGCTGTCCTGGCTGTGGTGGTCGTGGCCCGCGTGGTGGTGGTGGTGGTGGTGCTGGTGGCGGCAGTGGTCGTGGTGGTGGTGGCCGCCACAGTGGTGCTGCGCATGGTCGTCGTGGGAGCCACCGTGGTTGCAGTCGTGGTTCCACCGCTGCAGACGCAGGGGCCATTTCCACCGCAAGGCCACCTAGGTTTTAGGGTTGAAGGTCTATATATGTATACATATATATATATATATACCCTAAACCTGCAAGGAGGGGCTCTACTAACTATAGTTAAGGGAATTACAACCTAGGTTATGACCCAATTTAGGGCCCGTATAAGGGTTTAGGGGGGCTTGGGGTCAACGTCGCCCTCGAGGCTTTGCCTGGACAGGTATCCTGATTAGTAGCAGCAGAAGAACCGTGATTCGCGCTGCCATATGTGCTGCCCCTATCTTCCTACGGCAAGACTAGTTCAAAGAGCTACCCAATCGCAAGTACACATACGAAACAGAGCAATTACAACTTCCCCTAAGGGTCCGTGTACCTAGTACATACTTGGGCCCTAAAGCTACTTCATCGGAACCCCTTTGAGGCCCAATTATATACCATAATATAGGCACATGGACCCCTACAGGGTTCAGAGCCAAGCCACTGGCCGACGTCCAGGTAGCTGCAGGTTTCAGCGCAGATCGCATCCGTAGCACCTGCTGCTTCCAGGTTCCGAGATTCGTTCGCACGCTAAGCACCCGAATGTCTCATGACGCATGCGCGGCGCGCAACAGAAGGATAGTTTTCCCAGCACCCCCCCCCAATCGGAAGACATGAAGAAAGATGTTATGTCCTAAACCCTAAACCCTAAGCCCTTACTCCTTGAACCCTAAACCTAAACTTTAACCCGGAATGTCCCACTTCAAGTCTATTAGCCGGCCTTCCTGCCTCCAGGAACAACGAGGGAATTTAGGGTTTATAGGGTTTACAGTGTTTAGGGTTTATACCTGGGACCCTCTTTACCTACAGTATAATAGGAACCCCCTAATTTGTAGGCATCACCCATAAAACTGTAGGTAAAGAGGGTCCCAGGTGGGGCTTAATTCGGGTTCGGAACTACAGCCCGGCCTAGCTCAGTGGTAGCAGCCGTGCAGGAGCGTATGCCCGTGTCCTGGAGGCATCAGTAAACCCTAAACCCTAAACACTTGGGCCTTCGGTTCTACTTTAAACCTTCGGTTCTATGGTCGCTTTATCGAATATGAGAGACTCTGATGTGGCGCCGGTTGTTTGAAAGCCTGCACCTTCTAAGAGAAACTCTGCAGAAACCCAGCCCTCACACGACCCCAGACCCAAAATTAGATGGGGCATTTCCCAAAACAGGGGTACTCCCCAAACATACCCCAAAGAGACTAGAATCCTCACCATGGGCATCACGGGCACACCCTGCACCAGGTCTCTAAAGTTGCCGGTATTTAGGGTTTAGGGTTTAGGGTTTAGGGCAGCTAAGGTTTCCACCAATCTGACCAATCTAAACGCATTAGTTACTCTCCCATTTGGCAAAAGCCTACCTCTGCTTCTAAGCTACTTTTTAGTGATATTCTTCAATCATAACATAACCTACGGGCTGAAACTGAAGTGACTAAAGTACATATGCAACTGCAATAGCAACCACACCCGCAGCAATCGGACCTCCGACCGCCGCCAGCAGTGAAAGCCTGCGGATCTTGCACTTTCTGAGCATGGAATTGGAAAGACAAGGAAAGTAATACATTATGCAGATGATTAAGCTGCAGCTCCTTTCTTTTCAAGGGTAATGATCGTGGATTACTGCAGGCAGGGCTTAAGGTTCAGGAGATTAAACGGAGCTTGTGCTTCCGGTGCACAGGCCCCTTCACCTCACAGCCGCTCGAAGATACTAAAAAGCCGGCCAAGCACCAAAGACTGTCGTGAAACTTGCCACGCGCAAAGTAGACAACCTTCAAAAAAGACAACGGCATTTATGTCCTAAACCCTAAACCCTAAACCCTAAACTCTAAACCCTAAACCCTAAACGCTAAACCCGAAACCCTAGACTGATAGCCTGGCCATGTTCAGGAGCACCGTACTTCTCAGGGTCATCCCGATATCCCTCGGTCAGCTACTAGGACAAGACGCCCATCCACGGATCTAAACCCTAAACCCTAAACCCTAAACCCTAAACCCTAAACTCCCTTTAAAGCTTGAAGACGCCTCAAACACCCCAAATGCCAAGGCCGCTACTTTTAAGTTCGTGGGTACGTTTTAGAAGGGTCAACAGCATGGCAGCTATGGTTATGACTCTATTTAGGGTACTGATAATGCCCTACTTAAGATACTACCAACCCTAAACCCTACAAACCCTGAACCCTGAACCCTAAACCCAAAAACCTAAAACCTCCAATAAACCCTAAACCCCAAACCCCAAACCCTAAACCCTAAACCCTAAACCCTAAACCCCAAACCCCAAACCCTAAACCCGAAACCCCGAAACCCTCCAAGTAAGGGAAGCCAAAGGGCCGCTGAGTGCGATGGATGCTTGGATGCCATCGCTTCGCGTCCAGACTTCGCAGCGGCCGTTGCTGTACTCCTCGGTTTAGGGTTTAGGGTTTAGGGTTTAGGGTTTAGGGTTTAGGGTTGAGGGTTTAGGGTTGAGGGTTTAGGGTTGAGGGTTTAGGGTTGAGGGTTTAGAGGGTTAGGGCTTAGAGGGTTAGGGATTGTCTTAGGGCGATATGGTTTAGGGATTTGGGCTGAACATAGGATCAAGAAGGGTGCCCCTTTTGCTTAAAAGGGGTTGATAAGGGAACCTAAACCCCCCCCAAAAAAAACGGAAACAAGGGCACTTCTGGGCAATCCTAGAAGAGACATGGTTTGTCGAATTGCAACCCGAGAGGCGATCCCCGTACAGGCAGGCTCATTCATGCACTCTGCCTTGCAGGATGTGATGCTGCCGATGCCGGGCGCGACGCTGTAGTAGCTTGGCCTCCCATTGGGTTTAGGGTTTAGGGTTTAGGGTTTAGGGTTTAGGGTTTAGGGTTTAGGGTTTAGGGTTTAGGGTTTCGGGTTTCGGGTTTCGGGTTTCGGGTTTAGGGCAAGGTACATTCTCAGGTCCATGTGGGTAGCTCTCTAAATTTTCGGGTATCCTTTTTGGGATCCCTCTTTTTTGAGGGGTGCCGCCTTCTCGGGGGGTACCCAAAAAGGGGCCGGCTTGCAAGCGGTTACACACACCATCCTAGAGTTGAAGCCCGGCATGGGTTCACAAGAAACCTATCCTTTGGTATGGCCTTACATGGGGATGTCCGGAAAAATAGGGGTTTAGGGGTTTAGGGTTTAGGTTAGAGTACCCTTTTGGGGGGGTCCTGTTATGGGGATTCTGTTCTATTGGGGGGGGGGGGGTATAGAAGGGGTGCCCCTATCTTGCCTTAGCAGCCTTTTGTACATGGGTGCCCATACTTCAAGGAATCCCCCAAACCCTATGAAAACCTACAAAACACCAAACTCCCAACTCCCAACACAACACTGAGTTTTTGCCAAGCCCTACTATCCTGAGCCCTAAACCACGACACCCTAAACCCTCATCCCTCAACCCTCTACACCCTGTATGACCTAAACTTAAACCCTTATCCCTACACCCTAAACCCGAAACACCCTCTTCGCCCTAGTCAACTCAACCCTGAACCCGCTCAGGGCACAAGTTGTCGCCGGCGCTGGCTCCGCGGCACGCGCGATCCTTGCCACCATCGACCTGAGGAGTTTAGAGGGATTGTAGTGTTTTGGGGGTTTAGGGTTTAGGGTTTAGGGTTTAAGGTTTAGGGTTTAGGGTTTAGGGTTCAGGGTTTAGGGTTTAGGGTCGGTGTTTAGGGGGTTTAGGGGTTAGGGGTTAGGGGTTAGGGTTCAGGGTTGAGGGTTTAGGGTTGAGGGCTACCTGAAGAGTTTAGGGCTGGTAGCGTTTTTTGGGTTTTCGGGTTTAGGGCATTATAGGGTTTTTTCTGGGGGCTTTAGGGCTTAGGCTGAGTATCCGATAGGGGTTTGAGGCTCCGGCGGCAAGAGTTTTGTGTCGCGGCCTAGGGTTAAGGGGGGGGGGGGTTAGGGGGTTTAGGGATTCGGGGTTTAGGTTTTTGGGCTTGAAGTCTAGAGCTTACAGGGGTTTAAGGTTGAGGAGTTGAGGGGTTACGGTTTAGGGTTTTTCAGGTTGGGTGGGGATTCAGGCTGGTCAAGTGACGAGAGCATTTAACCCAAAAGAAAGAGGTGTTTGTTGCAATTTTGCGGTCGACAACCCCCCCCCCCAAAAAAAAATAAAATAAAAAATAAATAAAAGTGTCGGCTCTGCGGTTCAGCTCAATTTTGGGGATCCATGTTCGCGTGTCTACAGTATAGGATCTAGGATTCAAGGTCAGGGTTTACTTTAAGGTTCAGGGTTAGGGAAAGTAGGCTTCTGAAACAGGATTTGAGGTTGAATTCGGGCCACCCCTTGTTCGGAGCCCGTTTTGCTGTTTAGAAGGTATCTCTGCAGGCATCCTAGCCAGAGGCAGGTGCGAGAATAGGGCCACTACGGGGGCATCCTAGCACAACGAAAACCCTAAACCCTAAACCCTAAACCCTAAACCCTAAACCCTAAACCCTAAACCCTAAGGCAGCTGCAAGCAAGCGGCTGCTTCAAAGGCACCCGGAGGATATGGCGTGGTTGTCGACATGCCTGCGTGAAGCAAGCCCGCACTCCGTGGAAATCCTACACCCTAAGCTGCAAGACTCCGGGTCTGCCTAGAGAAACCCGTCTCCCTTGAGAGGTGGCGTCTGCGCACGCTAGGCAGGGGTATAGGAGCAAGGACGAGAGCCGCATGACAGCTGGAAAAAAGAGCCAAAGCCAAGCTTTAGAACATCTGAGCATCTGCCCATGCACCCTTCTTTTGGAGGGGCTAGACCCCTATACGGCTCCCAGTATACAAACGAATGCCTAGATTGGGATTGATAAAGTCAGAAAATCGTACCTGCTTTAGGCCACTTGGAGCCTTGGGGAAAAGTCCTTCTTTGTGGTAAACCCTAAACCCTAAACCCTAAACCCTAAACCCTAAACCCTAAACCCTAAACCCTAAACCCTAAACCCGCGGGATTGGCCCCCGCCATCTTTGCTTGAAAGTCTGGGCCTCCAATATCAGCCCTTGGCTAGATGTGTTCCCGTTGTACCCTGAACCCTCAACCCTCAGGCCTTGTGAGGGTGTATGTATACTGGGAGCATCCCAATGGCCTACCATGGGGACCCATACTTGAACCTAAAAAAACCCAGAAGCCCTATGAAAGGCCCTAAAAAACCCCAACACCCTAAACCATAAGCACCCTAAATGCCCCGAAAAACCTCAAAACACTTGAAAACCCAAAAACCCTAAACCTAAAAACCCTAAAAGCCCAAACCAAAACCCTAACATCCAGTTCTGATTGCCACCCTGCGGCTCCCATCCAGGAAGCGATAGCAGCTGTAGCCCGACACTGCTGCGGAGGCTTGAATGCCTCAAGCGTAAGGAAGGCGGACGGAGCTCAGGGGACCGGGGGGGGGGGGGGGGGGGGGGGGAGGAGACTTGGAAAAGCACATGCTTTGACAGAGAAAGAGAGACAGAGAGAGAGTTTTGCTGGCAGGCGTTCCAGAACAAGAGGCACATACTGCCTGGATCAATCTACGCCATGCACAAGGTCCCTTGTGGAGCATTTCTAGATATGGTACCCTTAATGGTACCACAAGTTAGATAGTACCAGGACCACACCTCGACTTTCTGGCCCATGGCATCGCAAACGCACATACACGCGCCTTCCGGTCGAATCCAAATCTCGCAGCGGTTCGTGCTGAATTCAACACCTGCACAGCAAACTTCTGCAGGTTCGAAATGCAAGGGGGGCCTGGGGGATGGGTGAGAGGGGGGGGGGGGGTTGGGTTGGGTTGGAGCCGCCAGCAACATTTCTGCAGCTGAAACTAGCTTTTTATGTGAGAGAAGTGAACGAAGTGTGTCCAGAAAAATAGGCGAAAACAAGCCATAAACGTGCATGCATAACGGCAGAACCCAGCTTAGCCCTTCAGTGTCCAGCGGCCGCAAGGGGGAAGAGACTCAGGGATCTATAGTACTGTAGGGCCTAAACCCTAAACCCTAAACCCTAAATTCATACATAGGGTTTAGGGCTTTTCAGATCTAAGGCTTGGTCAACGATCTTGGGTTCAGGGTTGGCCGCTGCAAGAAAACGCATCCCCCGCAAGAAGCGAATTTCGCACCTTGGGGTATTTGAATGTGCTACATGCTCTACACGTTGCATCACGAGCCCTTTTGAGAAGAAGCCTAAACCCTAAGCCCTAAGCCCTAAGCCCTAAGCCCTAAACCCTAAACCCGCTTGCCATGATCTTGCGGCAAGGGGGGGGGGGTCCTTGGCAGAGAGGCTGCCGGAGGCATTCGGCCTGACAGTCGGCAAGTTGGCTGAGTCCTGTGCAGGGTACGGGGGTTTAGGGCCTAGGGTTTAGGATTTGAAGCTAGGTTTTGCGGCTTACAGGGTTAGGTAATCCCTGTGAACCCTGGCAGCCACAGATTCGAGACAACACCAAACCCGCAACAAAACTACACACTTTACGGCCTTCGCCAAACTCTGGCTGAACCCCCAAAAAGGGAGTAAGGGGTTTGTTGCCGTTTTTATGTTTAGGGCTGTAGGTTTGAGGGGATAGGGGTTCAAGAAGAGTTTGGAACGAGAACTTCCTTTGCAGGATGCTGTTTTGTTCTTGAAGCCGGATGGGGTTGAGTCTTCGGGTTTAGGGTTTAGGGTTTAGGGTTTAGGGTTTATCAAGCCACAACAAAGGCGACTCCCAGCTACGCATCCCGGCCGTTGATTTTGTTTCCAGCCCCGCAGGAACTGAGCAAACCGGCTTTGCCGTGGCACTACTGGAGTCCTATACCCTAAACCCTAAACCCTAAACCCTAAACCCTAAGACCCAACCCGAAAATGGATTTGCTGGCCATGCCACACGGCTTTGCGTCCCCTTAAGCCCTGAAGGCTACTCGGCAGTGGATGGGTAGCAAGAAGTAGACTCACCCAAAGGATCCATGTACCTATAGTATATACTTGGGCCGTAAAGGGGTTCCTATATAGTATATACTTGGGCCTTAAAGGGGTTCCTAAATAGTAGCTTTAGGGCTCAAGTATATACGAAAAAGGTACATGGATCCTTTGGGTCAACAGAGAGCCCCCAAATGAGGTTCTAAGCAGCTGCCCTGCGAAGAGACCCCCAGCAATCAGGTTTAGGGCTGAGGCTTAGGGTGTGGGGGTAGGAACCATATACCATACACCGCGAAAAAATCTTAAGTTGCCGCGGATGGACCATACCTCGTTTAAACTTTCGGTTTCGTGTAGGGCCCCATGCAATCAAGCCATACTTGAAAACTACTTCAGCTGAGGCAACAGAGCTAGGAAAGCTTCGGGTGTTTGGGATTACGGAGTCCAGGGGGTTTTGGAGTTAAGGGCTATGCGTGTTTGGGAGCCGGGGGATTAGGGGTTAGGAATTTCGGATGTTTGGGACTTGGGAGTTTAGTAGCTTCAGCCTTGAGGAGCTTATGTTTGGGAATTTTGGTTTAGGGTTTAGGGCTTAGGGTTTAGGGTGAACCCTAAACCCTAAACCCTAAACCCGAAACCCTAAACACTAAACCCTAAACCCTAAACCGCATACTGGACGCAGCTCAGGCTCCTTGTACCACGGTGTAGTGAGCTGCGGAGTTATCTCCAGGACCTGCGGTTCGCGGGCATGTCAGCTCGCAGCCCGAAGGTCGAAATCCCCCCTTGGTAATTATCGCAAACCCCTCTGGTTAGCGCTTAGGGTTTAGGGTTTAGGGCATAGTAGGAAATTGCGAACCCAGGTATACAGCACCGGGAAGCCGGGTGGCTCCAGACAAGGGCTTGAAGCAACCTGGCACCCACTCGAAACGGATACTCTGGCTAGGAGAAGGCTGACAATGGGAAAAGCCCTGAAATCCCGAAACCCCGCAAAATCCCGAGTGACCCTCAAACAGCCCTGAATACCAATTGACCCTAAGCCACGACCTCCCACATCCCCTAAACCCCAAACCCTACCAACCCTAAACCCAAAAGCCCATTAACTCTAAACCACACACTCCTAGTCACACTCCTAGGACCCTGAACCCTAAACACCCTCAACGTGTTTAAGGCTTGAGAGACTGGGGACTTCGAGGTTTGCAAGGCCGGGCGTCATTCGGACGACGAGGTTAAGGTCGTAGGGTTTAGGGTTTAGGGTTTAGGGTTTAGGGTTTAGGGTTTAGGGTTTAGGGTTTAGGGTTTAGGGTTTAGGGATACTGTGTAGGGTTTCTGGGTTCAGGGTTCTCAAGCGTGGGCTGAGGGTTCACGGTTAGTATTCGGGTTCAAGAACAGCTCGGGCTCAGGGTTCTCAAGTTTGTTTGGGTAGAAGAGAAGATGGCGCCTGTTTCCCGCATGGAAGACATGTCAACACAGACCGACCTGACTTGTTTCTTACTCCTAATATTAGGGGTTGCAACAATTGCGAAAACTATTCCCAATTGTGGTCCCTTCATATAATAACCCACCCCAAAACCCTACTTTAATGACTAAGGCCCCGATATTCCCCCCACCCGAGATGAAGAGATTAGGCTTGGTAGCCCAGGAACTATATCATAATAAGGGTAAGGGTTGGTTCGTTTTATGAGGGAACCTTGAACCAACAAAAGAGAGAAAAGATTGCCACCGGGCTACTAAGTAGGCAATTTGGGCATCATGTTTCACATTTGCCGTCTCAGTGGCTCCCCTGAATGCGAAATCCGAGGCACTCGAGCCACGACAAGCACGACCAGTCGCACCGTCAACTGCCTCGCCAGGTGCCAACGAGCCGTTTACAAAGGGTGCAGGCATGGAGGCCAACCTAGAGAACACACGACTCACTCATGCCTTGCTTTGTTCACTTCCCTCTTTGGCTGAGCGCGGCCGACTGCTAGATAGTCTCTTGAGTTAGGCGCTGCCCCGAGGAAAAGTCGCTTTGCACATGTTGCCCTTCGCCAACACGCATTAGCATATCTGTCTTGCAGCGTGCGCTGCTCTTCACCTGTTCGACCCCTGACCCCAAGGAGCTTTGCCGTAGAAGTCCCTGAGCATACGCATGCCCCTCGGATATAGATCCACAAGCGTTCTTTTACAGGTTCAACTGAACTCGCAGCTTAGGGCATATAGGGTTAAGCATCATCTTCTCGTGCCTCCCACTCCCCCATGCGCGGGGGCAGCGTAGTTCCAGTTTCACCTCGGCCCAGCCGGTTTAGGATTTCGGGTCCTCTACCCTAAACCCTAAACCCTAAACCCTAGAAACGGAGAGGCCTCTAGAAACCTCAGATCTCGAACTGCAGAATCGAGCGTGCCAGTTCAGGTTTTCGGATCCAAAGTTTGCATACGTATGGATACGTTAAATGAAGATTCCTATACACACACACACACACACACACACACACACACACACACACACACACACACACACATTCGAAGGCTCTGAAAACACAGGCCACTTGCAGTTCTTTATGTGGAGATATGTATCCGCTGCAAACCCTGAGCCGGAACAGCAAACCAACCTACCGCGGATGTTAAATGCATAAATAGATCAGGGCAGGCTAGGAGTACGTGTTATGCCATCATTTGTGGCAGATGACCCTTGCGTGCACCTAATTTATTGGGAGTGGCGGTCAGGATGACTTGGATGCAGTTTGAGGGGTTACATAGAATATAAGAGCTATATTGGGGTTTAGGGTTGGGGAAACCACATCCCAGTGCTTGAACCCACATCGCAACCACAAGCCATTATGCCTGCCAGGTCCCCTCAGCGGTAGAGCCTAAACCGCTGGCTCCATCACCCGAAACAGTTCCAAAACTCTGCAAGCTACAACCTCAGAAGGCCATCCGCCTGACCTGACCCCTTCATCCACTCAGATGCGTCGAGCACGACTGAACTTCACCGGCCACACACATCAGAGGCTTCGGGTTCAGGGTTCAGGGCTCAGGGTCCAGGGTTTAGGGTTTAGGGTTCAGGGTTTAGAGCTTGAACCCTGAATCCATAAACTAGGAAGACCATCGAGGAGCCAAAGCTGTAGCAGCTGAAGCCATTCAGAGGGATGGAGGCCTGATGATGCGCATTGACTCGGCTTAGGGTTTTGGGTTTTAGGGTTTAGGGCTTAGGGTTTAGGGTGTAGGGTGTAGGGTGTAGGGTGTAGGGTTTAGGGCTTCGGGCTCTATCGAGTTTAAGGTTTAACAGGGCGTAGGATGTTAAGATGAGGTTTTAGGGGTAAGGGTCTATTGGGGGGGGGACATCTTCTTTCTGGCTCTGCCTCTAGTCCTGAAACCACGCTGAAGCCTAAACCTAAACCCTAAACCCTGAACTCTAAACTGACCTTGTCAGTCAGTCATGGCATCAAGCCACTCGGAGCAGCGCGGTCACAACACGACTCGAAGCCCAGATTTGGACTTCCCAACCTCTTCGTTTAGGGTTTAGGGTTTAGGGTTTGGGGTTAAGGGTTTAGGGTTTAGGGTTTAGGGTTCAGGGCCCAGGGTTCAGGACTTAGGATCTGAAAAAGGCTTTAAGGTTTCCAGACCCTGCCTGCAGCCCCAAACCCGTCACAAACTTGCAGGCCGCAGCACATATGGCAGGGAACAAGCTCCCAAGAATTGCTGAAGGTGCTGGGGTTTAGGGTTTAGGGTTTAGGGTTAGGGTTGATAAGTAAGTTTGGTAACATTCGAGCCCAAATAGAACCTGACACATTAATCTCGCTGACACATTAATCTCGCCCCCTGGCTCACCTGGATGCCCTCAGAGCGGGTCCAAACCTGGCCAAATGATCTCATCAGGGTTTAGGGTTTAGGGTTCAGATTTAGGGTTTAGGGTTCAGGGTTCGGAGCCCAAAAGGTTTGTTAAGGCTTCTGGGCTTGGGTTTGGGGTGTGGGGTTTTGGTTGCACTTCAACTGTTGCCCAAAATCTTGTCAAGCTGAAACTTGAAACCCTCGCACCTCATATCGAAAATTAAACCCTGGTTTAGGGTTTAGGGTTTAGGGTTGAGGGTTTAGGGACCGTAGAGTATACCATGGGGGGGGGGGGGGGATGGGGGGCTTGTTGGTTTTTGTAGATGTAGCGTTTAGGACTTAAAGGAGTTCACAGAGTTCAGCTGCATGGCTTAGCGTTTTAGGGTTAGTATGCTTAGGCCTTTGAGCTTTACTGGAGGGGGAAGGTGAGGCTGGGGGGCTGGTCTGAGAGTCTACGGGCCTTTATGGTTCCCAAAGGATCCATGTACCTATATAGTATATACTTGGGCCTTAAAGGGGTTTCTATATTGTAGCTTTAGGGCCCGAGTATATACTATATAGGTACATGGAGCCTTTATGGTGTAGGGCTTGGGGCTTAGAATCATACGGCTTAGGGCGGAGGGATCGGTTTGGAGTTTAGACTTACTCAAAGTATCCCCGAAGCTTGAAAACAGAAGTGTGCCTCACACTCATATATATATATATGTATATATATATATATGTATATATATATGTATATGTATATATATATATATATTGATGTGTGTATGTATATGTATGTATAAATATAAATATATATATATATATATATATACATATGTACAGAATGCTTGCAAGTTCTGCAAGGTGAAACACTAGGTGGCACTTTGGGACAGTTTCGGCTTTCCCTGACAGTCCTGCGGAGGTTGCTTTTCAAATATGTTTTCGGAAGCCATATAGGTTATTTCTACAACAAAGAACAGCAGTCATCCATGGTTGCCCTCGTTTTCGTCTCAAGCTTGGAGGGGCAAGGGTTTGACGCCTTGCCCGCATCATGGCACTGCGATTGTTGGAGGACAGCAACCACTACGTTGCTCCTCAAGACGTCTACAACCTGTTGCTGCTTGGCCACCACGTTCGTCGAACGCATTGGGCCAAGCACGTTCTGACCTTTTTGGGGTGGCGCTTCTGGCGCCCCAACCGCTCTGTGTGCCGACGATGACTGCACCTGTGCTGTGAAGACGAACGGCGAGCTGGTGTGCTTCGGAGCGAATTGCTCTGGTCAGTGCGATGTGCCTCCCGACCTAGGTCCTGTGGTGGCCGTGGCTGCCGGAAATAGGCACACCTGTGCTGTGAAGACGAACGGCGAGCTGGTGTGCTTCGGAGCGAATTGCTCTGGTCAGTGCGATGTGCCTCCCGACCTAGGTCCTGTGGTGGCCGTGGCTGCCGGAAATAGGCACACCTGTGCTGTGAAGACGAACGGCGAGCTGGTGTGCTTCGGAAGCAATGGCCTCCGGGTCAGTGCGAGCGAATTGCTCTGGTCAGTGCGATGTGCCTCCCGACCTAGGTCCTGTGGTGGCCGTGGCTGCCGGAAATAGGCACACCTGTGCTGTGAAGACGAACGGCGAGCTGGTGTGCTTCGCGGGGTCAGTGCGATGTGCCTCCCGACCTGGGTCCTGTGGTTGCCGTGGCTGCGGGATTGAAGCACACCTGTGCCGTGAAGACGAGCGGCGAGCTGGTGTTCTTCGGAGACAATACTTTTCGTCAGTGCGATGTGCCTCCCGACCTCGGTCCTGTGGTGGCCGTGTCTGCGGGAGTTATCCACACCTGCGCTGTCAAGCCGAGTGGCGAGTTGGTGTGCATCAACCATGAGCGGAATGTGCCGGCAGGCTTCAAGGTTCTGCTCCAGCCTGACACCCACTCCCAATCCAGCACGGGAGGTGCTGCAGCATGTGAATCACAATGAGCCCCCCTATCCCTAAAGTGCCCCCATCATAGGCTTTGCTGATCCTTGCGACGGAGCAATTTTGCAGGACTTTCCGCTGCACGGTTGCTGGCTGCCGCAGTACCTCGGAGTGATTGCTTTCAGCTTCCTCCATGAGTATGTGCGACAACGGCATGGCAGTGTCTGGGTGTGGAATTGGACCCTGCAGCCATAGAGTGAGTGAAACTACACGTTTGGTGTACCAGCATAAAGAGTTGCTGTAGGAAGCGTTTCTGTCAGGCTGCAGCATCCGATAGACGGCCCCAGGCGAACGCCTGACTGCCCGCCTGCCGAGCACCATACCACTAGAGAGTGTTGCTCGTACAAGATCATTTTTCGCAGCCTAGATGGCTGCAACGTTTCAGTTTCGAACGTTTGTTAAGCGATGATGATAGCATTCTTGTCCCTGCAAAAAGGGTCCCGCGAACCCAATGCTTGGCGGATTGGAGGGCGGTGAGTGTGGCAGGACCGTGGCAGGCAGGAGTGGTCGACTCAGTCACCATCTTACTAGCAAGGCATGGTTGTTTAGGGTTTAGGGTTTAGGGTTAGGGTTTAGGGTTTAGGGTTTAGGGTTTAGGGTTTAGGGTTTAGGGTTTAGGGTTTAGGGTTTAGGGTTTAGGGTTTAGGGTTTAGGGTTTAGGGTTTAGGGTTTAGGGTTGAGAACAAAGGCGAAATAGCGGCAAGGCCACGACCATCCTGAGCTGAACTGGGGTGATCTGGATCTTTTGCTTGCTCTGCGGGGTGATTGCTTTTAGCTTCCTCTGCCAGAGCAGGCATAAGAACCCCAAACCCTAAACCCGCAACCCTAAGCCCTAAAGCAGGCACTTCAGAGCGCTTTCCTGAACTCGCCATCGTCTGCACACGCGAGAGCATGACCAAAAAACTTGCTTCAGCGCATGCTCCCGACCCCACAGAATGCTTCCCCGCGGCCTCACGCAGCACTTCGTCGGTCATTGAAGTAGAACCCTAAACCCTAAAACCTAAACCCTAACCCTAAACCCTAAACCTTAAGTCTTAAACCTTAAACCCTAAACCCTAAAACCCTGAACCCTAAACCTAAACCCTAACCCTAAAACCAACCCCCAACCACACCACAGGGGGGGGGGGGGATCATCTTAGTACCCCATCCGCGGGGAAAACCCTAAACCCTAAACCCTAAACCCTAAACCCTAAACCGTAAACCCTAAACCCTAAACCCTAAAAACCCTAAAACCCTAAACCCTAAACCCTAAACCCCCTAAAACCCTAAAACCAACCCCCAACCACACCACAGGGGGGGGGGGGGGGTACCATGGGGGGGGGGGGGGGGCGGGGGGGGGGGGGGGGGGGGGAGGGGGGGGGGGCCCGCGGGGGGGCTGAATCATATATATATATATATATGCTTTCCGATAACTCCAGAACCCCACTCAACCAAAATAACCCTATATTGTCAAACTTGTCAAACTCTAAGTGCTGAGTCTAAATACTGAACCCTGTCCATCCAAAGCACGAAACACCACTGAACCCTAAAGGAACAACACCTACAAACTCTAAACCGTGATTTTAGGATGTTCCCTCTTATTCTAACAGTCCTTACTAGCGACTCTAGTACCCCCCCCTATTACAACCCCATATACGCATAAAGCCCAACATCCCAAACGCCAGATACAGACCGCAAGCTGTAGAGCCTCCAAGCCTTATACATCTTAAGCCCGAAAAAAAGCCGAATGCTACAATACGCTTACCCTGAGGATCCGGGTACCTATTCTGGAAATACTTTGGCCGTAAAGCTACTATACAGGAACCCCTTTAAGGCCCAAGTGTATTCTATCTAGGTACCCCAAACCCTAAACCCTCAACCCTAAACCCAAGCTGCTCGAATCCCTGCACCCTAAGTGCCGAAGCCTACAAACCCAACCACTGCAACACCCCACGATTGAGGAATGAAGACTGAACCCTAAAAGCCGCCCACCGCCCAAACCATCTAAAACCCCCAAACCCTAAGCCGTGTTAAGGTTCAAGGTTTCTCCCTAGACACTAAACACCTATGCCCTAAACCCCTTTTACCCTACGCCCCTCGACCCCAACACCCAAACCCGAAACCCCAAACCCTAAACCCTGAACCCTAAGCCCGAAACCCTGAACCCCAAACCCTAAACCCTAAACCCAAAACCGCTTCAAGGTTTAAGGTTCTCCTTTCGCGGAAGGGCCGGCCTCGCAGCGGCCCGGGCTGAACTCTATGCCTGCAAGACAGGGAGCCCCAAAATAATACCCGAAGCCCCTTCTCGGTTAGGTTTAGGGTTTAGGGTTTAGGGTTTAGGGTTTAGGGTTTAGGGTTTAGGGTTTAGGGTTTAGGGTTTAGGGTTTAGGGTTTAGGGTTTAGGGTTTAGGGTTTAGCGTTTAGGGTTCGGGGTTCGGGGTTTAGGGTTAGGGTCCAGGTGCCTAAATAGGGAATGCTTGGGCCTTAAAATACTCCTAGATAGGGACTTTGGGGCCCAAGTATATGATAACAAGGTACATGGACCCTTAGGGTAAGGTTGAGGGTTTAGGGTTTATAGAGGCTCAGGGTCAGGTTGTTCAGTGTTGAGGCTCCAATAGTTGCACCTGAAGCCAGATCTGAGAGCAAGGGTTGATGTTTAGGGCTTAAGTTTGGGGGTTTAGGGTCTCTTTGCAGTTTCGACTGACAGGGGATTGCACGAAAACATGTGCAGCTTCCTTGGGCTGCAGGCTACAGTCCGAAGATGAAGACGAGATCCTATGCGAGGCTCTCTAGAGGCCTGCATTTGAAGCGCTCACCGAGAAGCGATGGGCTTTCTCTACGCAGCTGGGGCTCAAACTCTAGCATCCTAACCCCTTAACTCTAGAGCTAAACCCCAAACCCTGAGCCCCAACCCCTAAATTCGAAACCTGAACCCTAAAAACCAAAGCCCAAGCGACCTTTGCACATTGGCTCCGCCAAGCACTCGTCCTTGCATGCGTCCAGAGAGCCACTGCCGCCAGGCGACACCTGCTCGACTTCACAGGAGGTTGAAAGTTAGAGTATATGCGAGTTTAGGATATCAGGGGTACCTTACTGGGGTCCTTCTTAGAAGGGGATCCCACAAACCTCAGCCCTAGACCCCGAAGCACTGCAGGCCCACTCGCGCCTGATAGTAGCTCGGCAGGTTGTCGCCCGTGGTTCGCCCACCTGGGCAAAGCGGCGCAAATGCTGGCTTCTAGCGGGGTTAGGTAGGGTTTATGAGTTCATTTGGGTTTCTAGGGTTCATAGGGTCAAGTAGGGTTGAAAGGCTGTACAGGGTTTGTTAGGGTATAGGGTTTAATTAAAGGGTTTGTAGGGTTTAGGTGTTAGAGGGGTTATAGGGCCTACAGGGTTTGCAGGGCTTATAGGGTTTATAGGGTTCATGGGGTTTATAGGGTTTAGGGACTCCAGTAGACTCCTGAAGATAGGACGGGTTGCTGACATCTACGTGTCCATCCTAAACCTCAACCACGCCTCCCCCCCCCCCCCCCCCCCCCCAACAAAAAAAAAAAAAAACGAAACCTCCCCATCCGGAACCACGTTCAACCACTGTGCTTGGCTTCCCTGAGCCCAGAAGCCTGAACCTAGTCCCTAAACCTAAAGCCACAACCCTTCCAGGGCTACACTCCACGCTGCCAGTTCGTGGTGCAGGGCTTTCAAGTTCAGGGTGCAGGGCTTTCAAGTTCAGGGTTAGGGGGTTCAGGGTGGGGTTATATCGGAGTTCGACTAACATTTTGACACCCAATGGGCTTGAGGTCCTAGCAATTTAACGGTGGCAAGGTTGGGTTCAAGAACCCTAAACCCTAAACCTACACCCTAAACCCGAAACCCCTTAATCCTAAACCGCATGAAGATCACGCAGGAGCCGCTGGAGGAGCAGAATGAATGGGGAATCAGGCGGGAGCGCGAGGAAGAAAAAGGGTGCCCCTTTTTGGTTTCAAAAGGGAACCCTACACCCTAAAAAAGGAAATCAGGGCCTACTCCGGGTCCTAGATAAGGAGGAAAGCAGGCCTGGGAATAAAGCCCCAAACTCTGACTTAAAATCCTGAAACAGCCAGAAACTCAAGAAGCCTAAAGAACCGCAGACTGTCATAGGGTTTAGGGTTTGGGGTTTAGGGTTTCGGGTTTAGGGTCATAGACTCGCCCAAAACCACCCTCAGGCCTTATCCGCCCCTGAAACGCCTAACCTTAAGGCTCCAAGGACGCTTCTGTTAAGGTTTTTGGGCCCAAAGGCCTGATTATGAATGGTTGTGTCGCCATGTTGAGCCTAAGGGTAACATTATCCTAAACCCAAAACCCAAAGCCCAAAACCCCAAACCCTAAACCCTAAACCCTAAACTCTGCACCCTAAACCCTAAACTGAACTCCAGCCATGTCGCGGCAAGCCCGTCCCTGACCACCATCCACCGGCTCGAAAGTGCTTTCGGCAGACGCGGCCTTGTTGAAGCCTGGGTCGGCATGCTGTAACGCCGATAGGGTTTAGGGTTTAGGGTTTAGGGTTTAGGGTTTAGGGTTTAGGGTTTAGGGTTTAGGGTTTAGGGTTTAGGGTTTAGGGTTTAGGGTTTAGGGTTTAGGGTTTAGGGTTTAGGGTTTAGGGTTTCATTGCGATGTTTCTCAAAATAGGGTACCCCCGTTTACGCCCCAGATAGAATAATAGAATTCCCTGAAAGGGGGCCCCCAAAAAGGGTACCCCTATTTTCGGAAACCCCATAGGCCTTGTCCTATAGAGAAACCTAGAAATAGAAAGTGTGCCCTTCAGAGGATTCGTCGGGTTTGTAGGGGCACCTAAACCGTAAACCCTAAACCTAATCCCTACACCCCATTTCCTAAACCCTAAGCCCTAAACCCTCAACCCTAAACCCTATCCCTAAACAGTAAACACTAAACCCTAAACCCCTAGCAGGGAATCAGGGCCGACTCGGTGTCCTACGCTTAGGAGCTTCGAGCTGGCGGCGCAGGGTTTACGAGGCCCAGGCCACCAAGC